CCACGAAACAAAGAAAGGTCTGTCACAGCCAAAAAATACACTCCAGACAATATATATATAATCAAATTATCAAACAGAGCTGCCCGGTAAACCGTAGGTATATATATTTTAGGGCACCCTCTGGTCCGGATCAGATCCAGGCATTCAGACTCAGAGTGGACGTGTGATGTCCAGATGGGTGCAGGGTCCAGGTCCAAGATAGCCATGGTTTTCAATAACGATCTATAGAAGTTTTCTTCTAGGGGAGAGAAAAGGGAATGAAAGGGAAAGAAAAGAAAAAAAAAGAACAGACCTTCAGAGTTTATGTGTCAGTACTGCACATTGTCTCTCACTTCCCAGATATGACACCAGCCTCATCTTGGCTCATACATGCCACCCAACCCTAACGTGGGACTGGCCATATACATGGACAGTACACCTCTACCTTGTTGCTGGTCTTTTCATTTGATGTCGATGATAGTTGATGCGGCCGAAACAGCAGAGAAATGGCACAGCATCCTTCTTTCTACCGCAGGATCCCTGTCTAATGTCAATTATAGTAAACGATGGAAACGTTTATACTACTTTATACATCCTTCTTTCTACAGCTGGAGGCCTGTCAGGTCACCAAGAAGCTAAGGAAAAGGCAGCACTTACTTAGTGAAGGTTCCAGATACTTTTCCTCCAAAGATCGCCTGAGCTGCTTCTAGAAACTTCTTGTTGTATGCTCTTGCCACTTTCTCCACATATTCCACAGCCTGTCAAAATATCACAAAACAGGTGACTGTAATGACCCACATTCAGGGACTGCCTTAAAAAGAATTCTATCGCAGAGGAGTCCGGCGTAATTGAAGAAACTGAGAAGTGGAGTCAAGAAAAGAGACGAGATTGGCCTATAGATGTCATCATCAGAATAAAACGATCATTCACTTTTTGATACGCCAATCATTAAAGGAGGGCCTTGATCCAGTTGAGGAAGGAGAGAAATTTCTGGCCAAAACAAATGGACCGAGCGTCCTGGGGGGGGGGAAAGCAGCAAAAAAAAAAAAAAAAAAAAAAAAAGTTCAAAAAACACTAATGTTCCCAGACTGTTCAGGCTGGACTATCCATCCAGGATGTCCGGCATAGGCAACCCTATACCCAGCTGTTCGGAAAAAAGCCAAACAAGTCTGAAAGCCCCAGGAGATAAGGAGAGGTACAAGTGGGGTTGAGAGGGGCTTAAAGGGGGAGGCATAATCATGCATAAAGTTCATAAACATGTTTTTTCCTTCTTCTTTTTCACTTGTCTGAAATTGGTAAGACAATTTGACGTGACACTCGGCCAAAGGCTAATTATGTTGCAGTTCTATTATTCTACACACTGCCACGACTGCAAGGAAAATGAGCAATAGGGAAATGACAGAATTCCGCAATGCAAAATCACATTGAAAGCCAGAAAGTCAAACGCTGTCCAGAACGCAGATATGCATTGATATTCCGCCAACTGAGAACCAAAGCACCGAATCCAAATGTCAATGAGAGGATACTCTTGCCACCACCAACGTATGTATCCAGAGCCCTTCCTCCTACTTGGCGCTCAGCGCCCAGACTACGATCACACAGCTACTACCCAGCCTACGAATTGACAATACCTGTTGACGTCAGCAGCGGCAACCGAGTACATGCAGATGTCGACCATGTAGACCATCGCAAAGACCAGGTACGTGCCCTCACGTCATCATCCTCATCTCTCCCTCTCTTGCTCACCCTCGACTTCTTCACCCACGTCTTACCTCAACACGAAGACCACCACCACCCACTGACTATCTTCCAAGCTGCCCCGGCTATGGGGGCCCATCTATGGCGCTGCCACTTTGCAGCGCCCTTCTTCCCGACGTGCGCATGGCTTGCACATGCGCTAGCGCTAAGCATGCAGCCGCGAGCTCCTGCTCCAGCAGCGCTGCCGCTCGCACCTCCAAGTGCCCGAATGCCTGCTACGCAGCCCATCCCTTTCCTGTATTGAACGTGGCGGACTTGTTGCCCCCTGAGCCCGAGTTTCCAGTAGGTTCAGTCTCGGCCAAAGTGTCTGCGCCCAGGCCCGTTCAGACAGTGGCCTGGGACCGAATTGGTTAGGCAGGCCCAATCACCCAGGCGCAAACGTATGGTGTTCCCTGCTTCGACCACGTTGCTGGAAGAGCCTGGAAGGCTTACAAATATTTCTGATTTGCACGAGCAAGGCGGATGTAACCAACTGGTGCGTGGCAACTGTCTGGTGCCCACCAAGATTTGCAAAAATTGACGAAGGCCTTATTAGGGGCCCGCCTTCACTTAGGGCGGTCACGCATCCGTTGCACAGCCTTATGCAGGTATGCCGAGGAGTGAAATCCTCACACGACATTCTTTTTTTCCTGAATATTTTTTCAAGTTTCTGAAAAACATCATGAAAATTTGACTTTGTGGAAGTTTGTGCATCCAGACATCGGTGCTATCGGACAGGCGATTAAGTCCATACATCCGGATTTGCATCCAAACAACTGGGGGGCTGCCAGACATCCGACCTGGTAACATTAAAAAAAAAAGAAATAAAAGTTCATGCTGTTATGCCCCAGTGGTGTCCAATTTATCCTAGACCATTAGGGACTTGGTCCATATATCTGCCAAGGTCCATAACATGACTGTCTCCACCAGGGTTAGAACTCATGACCTGTTTATCACATGGCCACATTTCTCTCGATTCAACAGTCACGTGTATGTAGACTCTGTACTGTGCAGCCACAAGTCATGAAGTAGGACTGCAATTCACATCGAGTCTGACTGAGATTGGATTGACTTTTTGTGCCATTATTTGTTTGTCTTTTTTTGTTTCAATTGTATTTTCGAAGTTTTACGTGTCAAAGTCATTTACTCAACTTTACTGTCCAAATCACATTTCACACAGTTTCACACACACCGAGAGATCCCCTCCATCATCTATCGATTCTTCTCTGATTCTGCTGTACATTTCAAAACGGGGCCAGCTAGCCCTGAAACCAAGGGCCACTGTTGGGTGGTAGGCTATCCCCTACCTGAGCTTTTCTAAATTCACTATTCAAAAGAGAAGGGGGAAAACAAGACCACTTCTTGATCTGTACATGACAGCCTTGTGCAATGGTGATGCTCTCTTTGTCCCTTAAATTTTTGCACCGTGACTCAAAGGACAACCCCACCATCATCTCCACCCAAGTATTGTCCTGTTGATATTGCTGGATGCATATGAGAGCCTGTGGGCCAGGACAAGGACAAATACCTTCTTGCTCTCTTCCTTATTCTCTGAAAAGAGAAACTTAAAAACTCTTCTGCATGCTTGGTCATTGTTTCCTGGGAGAACTGCCCGCAGCATTGCCATTACATTCCGAATTATCTGCAAAGTTGCAAACGCATTTAAGCCCATCAAAATCACCATAGCTGCTTAGCATGGAAAGAGCATGGCACAGCATCGGCATAACATACTGTATTACCTGCACAAGGCAAGCACATCAAATGGCATGATGAAAACCTGCATCTCAAGCACTGGCTGGAGGGAAAGGAGAAGGGGGACAGGAGGAGGGGCTTTCAAACGAGGACACCAAGATGACGATGAGGGCAAGTGGATCCTCATTGTCTGGAGGCCAGGGGAGCCCAGTGCAGACAGGGACATCTGCAGGTTGTGGGGAGGGAGCGAAGTACATATGCCAAGGCTTGGTAGGGATGGAAGGCAGTGAAAGAGGCTGTGATGAAGAGAAATGATAGAACTGATGATAGAGGAAGGAAACTTAATAGATAATTAGTAATTACTGAACAAAGAACAACTAATGACCGCAGCAAAAAAGACGCTGGTTGCACAGAGGGGGAGCAGATCTTGGGCTGCTGTAGGTTAGACCTTGGCCTCGGCCATGAGACACTGCCAGCAGTAGCTAGTGTGCAGTACTCTCGCCAGGGTCATTGGGGGGCATGGTCGCCCACTCACATGTGTTACGATCCTGGTCATTCCCAAAGTGCAAATTCACAATGAAAGACAATGCCACCAGTGTTGCACACCCCGACCGTCGGCGACCCTTGACTGGTCGGCTGCCGACCCGCCGACCGGTCGGCTGATCGGCACCTATTTGGTCGGGGGTCGTCGGCACCCCGCAAAAAAAAAAAAAAGAAAAAAAAAAAAAGGGTCCAGAACCCCTAATAACCCCACGAACACCCCC